TTGAAAAGGTTCTTTATTGTTAGAGCAGTAAAAATGTGGAACTCCCTCCCCCAGAAAGTGGTACTAGCTGAAACTGTTGACAACTTTACAAACTTTTAGATGTCTTCCTCAGAAAGCCGATTATACAGGGCTATGAGAATTGTAAGAGAATAAAAATCAAACACATATACATAAACGATGTAATTATAACCTTCTAAACAATGTAATGATAATAATGGAGGTGTTATTAACGCTGCATAGTGATGGCTCTTTGTTGTACTATTATAGGGTAAGTGCAGTTTGTTTGCTAGTTTTTGCTTTTTCTCTTGATGTGCGTTGTTTTTTTTTTTATCTAATTCTAATATATGCAGGTGTGTATTTGTAACCATTCCCTGTGCTGAATAGCGGGTTGATGGTATTTAACTTGATTGAGAGGGTCTGACAGACAGCTATGATAAAGGCCATACTGGCTGAAATGCATCTTTGTCATGACCGGATTTTAGCTGTTTGATAATAAATATTTGATGAGGGATCGGCTACCAAGTGCTAGCATTTGTTTCTATTACTACACACTTGATGGCCTGCAGGAGACAAGCTGTGCATCAGTGTTCTGTCTCAATTAAGATGAATGGAGGAGGCCTGAGCGCTGTTCTGTGCTGCCTGCTGTAATGCTAACACAAGTAGAATATCATTCTTGCATACTACATACATGTTATTGCATCAGACAGACAAAGCCAAGAACTCACCAAGGACACCCCAACTTTTGCCACCTCTAAATGTAAGCAGTTCAAATACAAAGAGAACTTAACAAGTTATTCTGCCTGACTACAAATGTGAGAAGTGACAGCACTTGTAGAAATGCAACAAAAGCATATCAAGACCCGGAATATTTCATAATGAGAAACCAGTGTCTACTTTATTAGTATAGATTGGATGACAGATGCTTGGAATTACAAGAAACCTCAGTCACAACAGACAGAAACAATAGCAGGTATACAAGAAATGCTCAGGTGCTGTCACGTTTTCATTACTATTTCTATTATTATAAAAGTTAAGATTTCCAAGACATGAAGTATTTTGACTATCAAGTGTAAAACGCATCGTTCATTTTCCCTGCCTTGTCCTGTTTTAGTCGTATTCTTTTAAATTTCTCTTATAAATGTAAAAGCTAGATCAAGAGAAAAATGTATGTCTTACTGAGACTCCAGGCGATAATTCTTGGTGGAATAGTGAAAATGTCAGGTAGTAATTTTATTATCTGAAAAGCATTGTTTCTCCTAGGATTACAGGTACTTATATAGTGCCATCAATTTATGCAGCGCTTTACATTTGTATATTGTATATTAACATCATTCTCTAACCCTCAAGGGGCGTACAATCTAAGGTCCCTAACTGACAAACCAGGGCCAATTTAGACAGGAGCCAATTAGCCTACCAGAATGTCTTTGGGAGGAAATTGGAGTAAACCCACACAGGCACAGGGAGAACATGCAAACTCCAGGCTGGTGTTGCTGTGGTTGGAATTTGAACGATCCTGGTACTACCAGGCAGTAGTGTTAACCATTTAGCCACTGTGCTGCTCACTGGTGATGTGACTGGTATCTGGTTATCTGCTTATGTCAACAATATAAGCAGGTTCAGGTGATCTCTTGAAAGTGTGATCTTACAGCAGTTGGACTATTTCTGGCTCTGGCAGAGCTACAAGGGATCTGCCTCAACTCACAGCTCTACCACATCAACAGAGTTTAAACTTTCCAACCTTTGTACTATACTGTTGGCCCATGGTGCCCACTTGTAACCTTTTGGTACTTGTTGTGTGGCCTTTGGACCCCAGCAGTCATTCAGTGGAAGCATTGATTTGTAAAGGGACTGTAATGGCAGTGATCTCTAGCAGTCTCTTGTAATGTTCTAAGTCCCTGCCTGTGTCCTGCAGCATGTCTTCAGTCTTAATCCACACCTATAGCACGATTGCAGTCTCTGACCTAGACCTGTTGTATATCCACAATTATGTCAATCACACAAGTTTTGGCTTTCAGATTGCCCTAGAATTATGCAACATGAGTAATACCTGTAAGTTCTGAATATAAAAACATCCACTCGGGACGGATATAGTAATCTAAAATATTCATTTATAATTCAGTAGCATACACAATTTTAATATTTGAAATTCCATTATGGAGTGCCTTTAAGACAGTGGTTCCCTAAAGTGGGATATGTACATCTGGTGGGTCTCATCCTCACTGTAAGTAGCACAAAGCAGGGCTTAGAGTTTTTGTGTAGGCCTGTCCTGTTGAAGAATAGACTAATTTGTCAGCTATCATTGCATAGGGGGTATGTATGTTTTCCAGTGGACGTTTTGGAGAAGGCAATGTCCAAACCGGATGCTGGCAGTGCAGGTAGGTGGAACATTTGGTCATTTTTTATAGTACAAGTGGCACTCAGACACTGCAAAGGTTGTTATAGTGGTGCAAAGTATGGGAAACACTGCCTGAAAATAGTTTGGGGGTTTGGTCATCCGTTGCAGAACAAACGGCTTTAATATACCTTCTCAATGGAGCTTGACTAAGGTGCCACCATAAATACTACATTAGTGCAAATATGTGTAATATAATGTATAATATATTTTGCGAATTTATATTAAGTTACTCTGTACATAATATATCTATCTAAATAAATATTACATACATTTGTGGCAGGATTAAATTAATTTATAATTAATAAGGACGTGACCTACTGCCCAATGGGAATGCTTGAACATTAACAGAAATGCATAATCCATTGCTAGTTTGATACTCTAAAAACGTTCACATTTTGGGCATAAACAGTATTTTAAAAATGCCACAGCTGACTTTTTTTTTAAATAAAAGAAGTACATACAAACTTTTAAAACAGACCGCAGGATACTATTGAAAAATTACTCTGTATACTGTATGTTAAAGGGGACAGTTTAGATATAAACAAATACTTTCACAACTTTTTGCAATGTTCAGAAAGTGTGGAGGTAAAATGAAAAACTAAAAAAAAATACATTAAAATATGGAATTAAAATGAAATTAAAATGGTTAAAGAGAAATTGAACTTTCAGTTTAAATGAGCTAAATAATTCAGTGCCTGTTCACATATATGCGGATTGGATGCCGTTTGAACTGCTGAACAACTACTGTGTCAATTAGCTGTGAAATCTGAGCTTCAATCCGCACCTCACATGTATGAATCAGCTCTCAAGCAGACATCCCCTAAAATACGGGTGGAAGCAGAGGTCTCTCTGCAGACATCTTACTGAATCAGACTCATAGTTCTGTAAAATGTCTGCTTTTGCACCAAGAACAAAGTTACTTTTCTGCAGCCTGCTGGCAGGGGACAAGCTTTTCTACTCAAGAGATAGCTGCTTTCCAAAGAAAATGAATTGTAAGACTTCAAACACAATTTCTTTCATGAAACTGAATTGTACTGATTAAAACTAAAAGTTCAATTGAGCTTTAAAGTTTGGGATGATACAAATACCATTATTCTATTGGCTTCTTAAAATGAGAACAAATAGCTTTGTTTATGAAGACCATTATTTATAAAGCTTCTACTTTCATCATGCAATAGTGGCCTCAGACTGGCATATGTGTGCTGCTTTTTGGCTAAATCAGTGCAAATGATAAATTACACTTTAAGTTTTTTTTTAAACATTATTTATTATAAGAAAAATATGGACAACACAAAAAGGTTAGTGAGTAAAAGACAAAACTAACAGATGTCTATGTATTCCTAGCCAATATTGCATTTTTGTTCAAAGGGTTAAGAGTTAGTTATACTTAGGACATGCATTCTGCCATTCGAAAGGCCTAAATATACTGGCTCCAAATACGTTGCCACTCTGTTTAGAATTTATCAAAATAAAATTCTTATTTAAGACAATTGAGTATTTATCAATCTGACTGAACATAGCAAAGCAATAGTAAATGGCAAACTATATAATTCTTAGAGTGGATAAGGTCTCACCTCCTCAAACAACACTAAAGTCAGCCTTACCCCCCCCCCCCCAAAAAAAAAAAGAGAGATATATACAAATGTATAATTCTTTACATATTCATTTCCCATTTACAGAGAGCACTATTTGTTAAACTGCCCACAATTCAACCACATTCGTTCATGTTCCATAAAAAGTTATGAATGTTTATACGAAATCATCAAAAAAGGAACACTTTTAATTTTTACTATTATATATTAAATTAGGCTCACCTTAATCTTTGGACATGCAAAGAGTTATTTAGGTTGGTCATGCAGTCTTCATTTCACTTTGTCATGAAATTATACAGCGAAGTCAACACTGAATATTCTGAGAGCTGAGAAAACTATTATTTGGAGCAGATTGTATCAGGTTTACAAAGATGAAAGTGACATCATGCAGTCTAAATATTGTTTATGATCTGGATTTTGCTATACAATGTTCTATACCTAGTATACAATGTTCTACAGCTATACATTGTCTAAATGTCGTTTATTAGAAGACTTTGTTAGAGTAATACACAAAAGTACAGAAATTGCGGACATCAGGGTATGATAATGCTATGGACAAGCAGTCCACACAAGTGTGCAAGTACCCTTAAAATCAGTATATACAATATCAACATGAATTCATTACATCGTTACTCTATTAAAAGCAATGGGACCAGGTAAGTGCAGTTTCAGGATAAGGATACAGTATGTATGTCGCACAGAACACTTTGCACACAGGTTTCAAAGATGTCACATTACAAAGCCAAAGGGAAAACGCCATAGGGGATGCACAAAGGTCCTCTGTTTAGTCTTACAGAATGACTTGAAAATCCAAGTCATCGATGTGACTAGGCTAGTTTATAGCTGGCAGTGGAACGCAGTGCATCTAATTCATGGTATGCTTATTGACAAGATATTTGGTAGTGCTGCTGTTCAGTAGAATATAATCTGTGGATGAAATGTATTATTGCCCCAATGCCTTGGACACTTATAAAGCTGCTGATTCATTCTGATGTTGGGTTTTTGGCTGTTCTTCAGGCTGACATGTAAGGTGGAGGTGGCTCCTTAGATGTTCCACTTGCACTGTCTTCATATTGAGGTAAAAGGACCTGCAATGTTAAAAGAGAGAGGAAAGAAATAGGTACTTTAATAGCAAATATATAAAAATTCAACACAAAACCCACTGTATGTCAAGCCAAAACTTTAAATTTTCAGGGAATGAAATGTACAAGTCAATAACAAAACACTATAGTCTTTTGTACATTTTTACATGCACGTTCTGCTGTTGTGAATGAAGCCTCCAGGAGCTTTTAATCTTCAATAGAAAGTAATAGAGATAAGGGCAAAAGAAAATCAGTATTTCACTAATTGAAATCCATGGACGGCCGTATTTGTGCAATTAATTAACACCTTCCTAGTAACAAGTACACCTAAATGTTCAAGTACTAATTACTGCTTGCATTTTCCAACCTCTCAGATCATGTCTGCACACAGTTTAGAATTTTTTTTGCATGTGCAAGCTACAGTGGAAGCCAGGGGTGGACTGACAACTCATGGGGCCCCTGGGCAATAGGGGATCATGGGACCCCTGTGTCCTTGCCCAAACTCAAAAAAGCCTATGAAAAAGGTACCAGGGGCATCTCATGGGGCCCCCTACTGACCCCGGGCCCTCGGGCAGTGCCCGAGTTTCCAAATGGTCAGTCTCCCTGGTGGAAGCACCGTATTGGTGAGCATAGGCAGATCTCCCATGGCTACATCCGTGACAGCCTATCAATGACAAGTAACAAGCAAGCCAACAGTGCTTGAGGAGCAGGTGGAAGGCGTTTATAGATTTCAAGTGCTCAGGCATTCTGCTACCATTTGAGTTATCAATATACTGTATATAAAAATAAATAACATATCCTATTCTTACACAAGAAGCCATCTATGTTGATGATCCCTAAATTATTTATTATGACATTTCTTTGAACTATTTAGTGCTAAAGAACTCAAAAAGTGAAGATTTCCTATGTTATAAGGAACATCTAGAAATGTTAATTGTACGTAAGTGGTACCCCCTCTGAAACTCCTCCTGAAAACTAACAGGGCACTTGTATGTGAGTGCACCTAGGCATACCTCTGCCTATAGTTATGCCTACAGCCTCATAGCTTTAGATCTGCAGTGTGAGATACTGAATAAGGCACTGCTGCCTGTGCTAGTCTCAGATAATTTAGAGTGAGATTTGGTGATGTCGGCACTGTGCTGCTCACTGTTCTTGAAGCTCTAACATAGGGAAACAAAGCCCTACTCAGGGCCATTTCTAGATCATGGCACCCAGGGCATGTGCTCCAGGTCTTCTACTGAGTGCTCTGGGCCTCCTATGAGATATGGAGAAGATACATTTCATGCATTATAGCGTTTTGAAACATTGTATAATTTATCTACTTTCAATCTATATATTAATTTTTTGTCATGATAATGTGACATTCCATTTTAAGACCAATTCATATTTGTTCAGATAATAGGATGGTATTAGAGATGATTCACACATGTACGGTGTGGCTTGAAGCTCAGGTTTCACCACTAATTGATACAGTAGTTGTTCAGCGGTTCATATCAGGTTTACATCAGGTTCAGGACAGGAGTAGCTCAGAATTTCATCCTGTTCACACATATGCAGTTTAGAAACAGTTCCCAAAGAAGTAGCCTGTAATCTGCACCTGAACCTGAAGGCACTGCTCAGAAATCATACAGGACTCTTTTTAAAAGCGCACTGAATCCGCAACGCCAGTGCACCAGACATATGTGAACAGGCACCATAGGACGCAATGTTTTTTCACATGTCATACGGATTAGATGCGGTTCAAACTGTAGTCTTAGATTTGATCCTAAGTGGTCATTATGGTATCCTACCAGCCCATGGTCTATTAGAAGCCTTGAAATGCCCCTGGTCCTGCCTGTACCAAGATGGAGACCTCCGCATTGGGACAGAACAAGGCATGGGGAAAAGATCATCTACACAGAGTCCACAGGCAATTCTGGGAGTTAGTGCTTAACCCTCTATCTTCTTTTTTTTGGACACAGCTTTGAGAGTTCAGTTCCTTTTTAAGGATAGTAAAGAGAGGTGAATTTACATCTCAGGAGCTCCACCAGTCAATGCCAAAAAGGAAGAAGCTTCCTGCTAACACTGGGGACCCTAGACCTAAGTCTTTCTGAATCTTATGTTATTTCTGGTCCTAGTAATACAGAATCTATTTATATTGATTTTATTATAATGAAACACAAATATTGCATTCTATTTCACTGTTAAGACTACTTATGTTTGTTTGAAATCCATTCTAATGTGCAAACTTTAGGGAAGACACAGCTGCAGTGGCCACATTCAAAATCTTGTTACCATTGCAGAAAGTTTCCAGAATGTTTGCGTATTATGAGTTTACATGAAGCCTCTGATGAGCAGGTTCATCCGCTACAAGCCAACAATGCTCCGAGGAACAGATGCAGGACGTATGTGGAGCATATATCACTTCTATTACTCTGACTGTAGACTTGAATCACATTACTTTTTCTTGGGTGTCTACAAGTCTGCTACAAAATGTGCAAATAGGAAAACTTTAGTAGCGGCTTAATTAAAAGTCTATGTAAGAAAATTCTCACGAGATGCTGAGTCATTAACACTAAAAGTTTTCATCTTTAAATAACTGGAAAATGTAGTTTTAATTGTTAGCCAAGGAAAAAACGCCTTTGTGAAACTCCAAGTGAAGGATCTTAGCATTCTAAAACTAAAATCAGGGGGTGTTAGCCCCTTATGGGGGGAAATACCATCATCCCTTTATACTGGTAAGATCGTTGAGCTCGACGCATTTCATGAATACTTCAGAAGGAGATGAAGAGGGTTTTTAAATAATATGAAAACCCAACATTTCATATTCCTGATATGTGTCTGCTGTACTATGCACTTGCATGAAAAAGTATCCTGTTCTCTTTGTATTTCTTCCATTGTGTGAACTCCCTGGTGTTCCTGCAAGTTCCTCTGCTTTCCTATTAAATACTGACCACACTAGGCATGAGAGCACAGTGTGGTCAGTTCTCTAACCATGCTGGAAATTCAGTCTGCTCTCCTTCAAAGATCAAAGTTCTGCTAATTTCGCCCTCTTGCACAGACATTCACTGGGAAGCTCAGTGTGCTGCTGAAACTCCTCCCTCACTTTTCTGTGCTGCTGAAAACAGATACTCTGTGATCACTTTTAAAAAGAGGAAAAAAGGGTATTTATAATGTTTTATATGTACACACAAATGTTTTGCCATTCATTTCTATTTTTTTTTTTATTCTTTATTTGTCAATTTTACATGTCATACAGGGGAACTAGAGGCATGCAGGCTCCTTTAAAAACAGAATGGCCTAGGCCAAGTGAGAGATACACAAAAGAAACGAATTGTATCACATATATGTTTCCGTGTACCTAAACACCGAGGCACGATCAGGTTCACTTTCTCAGCACAAAGGCCGCCAGCACATTAGGACGCAAGTATCCTGTATAACATTTTTATGAAAAGAAAAGAATACAAGAAGAAAGGAATCGGAAAACTGAACGAGAACTATAGCAGTACCAGATAAAGGGGGAGGAGGGGACGGGGACATAGGGAGGGGGAGCGAGTGTGCTGCCGGAGGGGGGCTGGTATGGTAAAGTCTGGTAGGAGCCCTAGGGACCTCCTAGTAGGGGGGGGCTGAGTTTGACTGCTGGGATTCCAGGATAGACCTGTATTCTGCTGTAAAGGTAAATTCCACCCAGTAAAACTATGTTTTACGAAACCCGCTTTTCCCTTTCATTTCTATTTAAACTGAATGGATTGTTTGATAAGGTGAGGGATTACATACACTTTAATCTACAATTATACAAATACTGCTATGCATATCACATATTACCATCAATAGTTGGACCCTTGCTATTTATATTTATAGGCTTAGATATTGTGGAACAGGTTATTATGACCTTGCATTCATGTTTACAGCACATACCTAAGCAGTAAACTAATCCAGGGCTTAAAATTTCCACTCGCCTGCTTGCATTTGGCAAGTGGAAATAATTTGGGGGCAAGTCATTGGCAAAGCCAGAGCCACTATAAGGCAATACAGACAGCTGGGTAGACAGACACTGTCTTCTGGCACGCCCATCATGTCACAGTAGCCCTACCTACAGCCCCAGGGCACGCCCACCTGAATGGCTGGGCCTGCGCTCAGTAGGTTTGTCTCGGGGTTGCAGGGATGGCATTCATGGAGAAGCGGCCGTCCAATAAGATGTCTCTGGATGACACTGTACCACTCACCGCCATCATAGAGGCCAGCCAGAGCCTGCAGTCCCACACTGTGAGTGTATTTGTGTGTATGGATTACAGGGAGGGCTGCGTGTACTCCCTGTGTGTGATCTTTACCATTCCTGTACAGGATACACGGGGGGTGTACATCACAGATCACTGATACATGGAGGGTGTACACTATAGATCACTGATACATGGGGGTGTACATTACAGATCGCTGATACATGGAGGGTGCACACCATAGATCACTAATACATGGAGGGTGTGCATCACAGATCACTGATACATGGTGGGAGCACACTCTAGATTACTGATACATGGAGGGTGTACAGTATAGATCACTGACACATGTTGGGTGTACACTATAGTTCACTGATACATGGTGGGTGCACACATTAGATCACTGATACATGGAGGGTGCACACCATAGATCACTGACACATGGAGGGTGTATATCACAGATCACTGATACATGCTGGGTGCACACATTAGATCACTGATACATGGAGGGTGCACACCATAGATCACTGATACATGGAGAGTGTACATCACAGATCACTGATACATGGAGGGTGCACAGTATAGATCACTGACACATGTTGGGTGTACACTATAGTTCACTGATACATAGTGGGTGCACACCGTAGATCACTGATACATGGAGCGTGCACACCATAGATCACTGATACATGGAGGGTGTACATCACAGATCACTGATACATGGTGGGAGCACACTATAGATTACTGATACATGGAGGGTGTACATCACAGATGGGATGGGGGAGATGGGACTGGAGAAGGAGAAAGACA